CTGTTGTATTTTTTTACTTGGTGGTACAAGTGGGGGGGGGGGAACTAAATTTAAGTGTTTATGACATTCTGGTCCCTAGATATGGCTTAGGTCCCTCCGTCAATAAGAAAATGTATTTATTTATTTATTTTCAGTTTGTTTTGTTTTTTTGTCTGTCAGGCAAAAAATCACATGTCAAATTGCTTAGAGAAGTAATAGCACATCTCTCCTCAACAAGCCACAGCATTTTACAGCATATCATTCAAATGTGTGGGATGAGTTATATATGCCAAGGTTTAATACTTAAGGTTTGGTATTTATTCAAATCCTGTAAGTGAGCAATAGCAATAGTTGTGAAGTTTGCTTTGGCAGACAGACAGGGGCATTCTAGAAAAAAAGGTTCTACATGAAAAACTACGGCCTCACATCCATTGCCTAGACTAATAGACAGATAAAAGCCATGAACAAAGCTTATGCTAAAAGCAAGACTATTTCTACGTAGCATATAAATAAGAAACTCTCTCTCTCTCTCTCTCTCTCTCTTTCTCTCTGTGTGTGTGTGTGTGTGTGTGTGTGTTTATAATATAATATAAATACAGTCTAATGCAATCAGTCTATGCTGAAGACATGATAGGTGAAGGGAGTGAATGCTGTAATAGACTGTTGACTACAGTCATCGTACTATTTTTACCAGTGATGGTAAAGAGATATAATAGCCAGGATGGATCAGGGACAGAGATTAGTCCCAGAGAGCTGTGTTTACTCGCTATTACAGATGAGATGTTTTGTAAATAGCACACAAGCCTGTGGATGTTACGATATATTTGGTATTTGTATATTAAATCAGATGCTGAGTAATATGAAGTCTATACAATGTTAAAATAATTTGGGAACCTCCTGGAGAGCACAAACTTCAAACACAAAATCAAAATGAACACTATTTACTCTTGATACATGTTCCTGTCTAACAGTGCACGATTAATCGGTACATTTTTTTCCAAAGAGAAATCATGTTTGTCCTCATAATCTTTCTTAAAATTGAAATAATTTCTCTGAAACTTTCGGTGTATCAGACTTGTCAAATTGTACCAGACTTTTTAATAATAATTTCTGTTAGTTACATTGTTGCACTAGCAGGTGGCGACACTTGATCATCTTTATGAATGAATCAATTTAATCATTCACTCCGACTCGATAAAAAAACCCGGATTCATCTGGGAATTAAGCACCAACCCTGTGTGTAGATTGGAGGTACTCAATGTTTTCTTTACTATGGAAGGTGGGGGAGCCAGAAGTCTATGAATGGAATGTTTTACCGTGCTAAGGTGATGTGTCTCTCAAATCTTGCACATTCTGGCCGTGTTCGAATGTGTGATACTTTTAAAGGGGTCATATGATGCGATTTCAACTTTTCCTTTCTCTTTGGAGTTTTACAAGCTCTTGGTGCATAAAGAAGATCTGTAAAGTTACAGAGACTAAAGTCTAAAATCCAAAGAGATATTCTTTATAAAAGTTAAGAGTCAACCACGCCTACCTAAAATGGCTCATTCTAACACGCACCCACATATCTACGTCACGAAGTGGGAAGATTTGCATAATGCCGCCCACATGTTGACGCAAAGAAAGAAGGCATAACTTTGATTCACACTGTAGTATTGTTGTTGCCGTGTGTTTAGTTGTGAAAGCGAAACTACTTTGTTTGGCCTTCCAAAAGAGGACGATTTCCACTTCGTCATGCCTGGAGCTGATCCGTGCTGGTCGCTGAGGAAATACGTCAACTTTGCGCTGTGGATCGCCGGATCGGCTTTCACCGTGGACGAAGCGGAGTCCAGCCCGGGGTCATCACATGTGGTTGCCTCAAGCCCGCCCGCCGCCGCCCACTCTAGCCCGCCGTGTGTGGCGCTGTGTGTTTCGTTGTGAAAGTGAAACTACTTTGTTTGGCCTTCCAAAAGAGGACACAACTAGAAATCAGTGGTTAAGTTGTATTTACAACACTGTTCCAGAACAGTTCAACCCAAATATTCAGATGTGTGCAGCACATTTTATGGAGGACTGTTTCCTGATCCTGGAAGAGTAGACTACAATGCCGGCTGTTCTGACTCACAGA